CTTATACTCATTCTACAAAAATGGTTTTATACAATATTTACCTTATGGGACATAGTTCATGCAACATAATGCTCTCCAGTCCCTCCCAAGTTAGGTAATAATTTACAAAACCATTGCTCCTGCGTGCTAGAGTATTCCATTGTGTGAATATACCACAATTTCTCAATCTATTCATTTGTGATTGGACAGTTGGGCTGTTTCCATGTTCTTGTGATGGTTAGTAATGCTGCTATGAACATTGGTGTACAAATCTCAGTTTGTGCCTCAGTTTTCATATTTTCAGGGTATATTCCAAGTAGTGGAATAGCTGAGTCATATGGAATTCTTATGTTCAGCTTTTTGAGGAAATGCCAAACTGCCTTCCAGAGCGGTTATACCATTTTAAAATCCCACCAACAGTGTATGAGAGTTTCAATCTCTCCACATCCTTTCCAACATCATTAGGAGGACTTGTTGTCCTCCTGAACTTTGTCACTGTTACTGAGGTGAGATGATATCTCATTGTGGTTTTGATTTGCATCTTTCTTGTTGCTAGTGATTTTGAACATTTCTTCATGTGTCTTTTGGCCATCAAAATGTCTCCTTCTGTGAAAACTCTCTTTTTGTCTTGTGTCCATTTTATAACTGGATCATTCGCCATTTCCTTGTGGAAGTCCTGTAGTGTTCTGTAAACTTCTGTTATGAGACCCTTGTCTGAGATGGTATTATCAAATATATCTTTTGTTTTCTTTTATCCTATTGGGAAAAGCTTTTTAATGTACAGAGTGACTTAGTCTTTGTGTGTGTGTGTGCATGTGTACCATCAAATCAGATCTGACTGGTACAGGAGGAGATTTCCCCTCCTGCTTCAGCAAGAGCATCTGGTGGATTCGAACTGTGTACCTCTGGGATTGCAGTGAAGCTTCTTGCCACTAGGCCACCAGAGCTCTCTAGGGGCTTTGTATTTAGAAGGTCTCTTTCATCAATGTTATCTTCTCCTAGTTGTGCATTTCTGGCTATATTTGCCAGACTTATTTATTGAGAGTTCTGGTGGCCTACTGGCAAGAGGCTGTGCTGTAATTCTTAAGGCAGGTGGTTTAAATCCACCAGCTGCTTCATGTTAGAAAGATGGACAATCTTTTCCCATCCAATAAACTGCCTTTAAAGACCCATCAAAAGGTCAGCTATGGGTTTGTTTTAACTCCACAGTATACAACAACAAAAACAACACTTATATCACAGACTGACTTTTCTAGGTTTGGTCTTATTTTGTCTATTCTACACTTTATGGTTTTGGGATTTATCTGTAGGTCTTTGATCAACCCTGAATTGAATTTTGTGTATGGTGTGAGATGTGGATCTACTACAGTTTTCTGCAAGTAGAGGTATGGTTTTGCCAGAACCATTTGTTGAAGAAGTTGTTTCTCCATTTCATAAGCTTTGTTTCCTTGCCAAATGCCAGCTGACCATAGGTAGATGGCTTAATTTCTGGGTTCTCAATTCTGTTCATTGATCTATGTGTCTGCCATTGTACCATTACCATGTTGGTTTGGTTATTGCAGCTGTGCAGTACATTTAAAGATCAGGGAGTGCTATTCCTCTCACTTTACTCTTGTTTTTCAGAAGTGCTTTGCTTATTCAGGAAAATTTTTCCTTTCCAAATAAACTTGATAATAGCCTTTTCTATTTCTTTGAAAAATGAATTTGGTACCTGTATAAGGATTACATTAAACTTGTAGTTTTCTTTTGGTAGGATTATCATTTTCAATGTACTGAGTCCTCCTATCTATGAACAGAGAACATTTTCCCATTTATTTGTCTCTTATTGTACAATAGAGCACACTTAGACTATCACTTGGACTAACAGACATGGTAATTGAGATTGAGATCTTAGAAACGGAAATACAGAAAAGAATGAACAGCTCTAAGCAGACACTAGTGATTGTAACATGGAATGTGAGAAGCATGAATGTAGGAAAATTGGACATTGTTGAGAAAGAAATGGAATGCATAAATATTGACATACCAGGTATTGGCGAAATGAGATGGCTTGGCATGGGACATTTTTAATCAGATGATCATATGATTTACTATGCCGGGGATGAAAAGGTAAGGAAAAACGGGGTTGGTTTCATAATTTAAAAAGTCATTTCTAGATCCATCCTGAAATACAACGTGGTGAGTGACAGGATAATATCTATACGTATACAAGGAAGTCCAGTGAATACCACTATCATTCAAATATATTAGCAAACAACTAGAACAAAAGAGAAGGTAATAGAAGATTTCTACCAACTTTTGCAGTCAGAAATTGATCAAACATGCAATCAAGATGCATTGATAATAATGGTCGATTGGAATGCAAAAGTTGGGAACAGGGAAGAAGGATCAGTAGCTAGAAAATATGGGCTCGGTGAGAGAAATGAGCCTGAAGATAGAATTATAGAGTTCTTCACATGCAATGATTTATTAATTGCAAATACCTTTTATAAGAAACATAAACTCAGGCTATACACATGGATCAAACCACTGCATGTGATCCAACCACTGATCAAACCACTATACAAACCACTCTACTAAACTTGTCTACTGGGTCTAACAGGTTTTTATTTGTTGAGTCCTTGGTGTTTTCTGTGTACACTATAGTATCATCTGCATATAGTGACAATTTTACTACTTCCTCACCAATCTAGATCTCACTTATTTCCTTTTATTGTATTGTCCTAGTAAGTACATCCAACATGATATTGAAGAGGAGTGGTGGAAGTCTGGTCACTGTTCACAAAGGTTATGTTTTTCGTCTTTCTCCATTGAGAATGATTTTTAGCTCTTGGTTTTATGTATGTAATTTTCACTATGTTGAGGAAATTATCTTCTATTCCTATTTTGCTGAGTCTTTTAATTAAGGAAGGGTGTTGGATTTTGTCAAAGGCTTTTTCTGCATCAATTGATAGGATCATGTGATTCTTGTTCTTTGTTTTGTTAAAATGATGTATTACATTGATTGCATTTAATTTTTTCTTTTTTTACTATTTTATAAATAACCGAAAAGGTGATAGAAAAGTATTTTTGCCATAAATCTGTTGCTAGTGAGTCAACTGTGACAGCAACTTTACAAAACAGCCCAGATTTTTAATGCTATACAACCTTCTGAAGACAAAGGATCTTTCTCCTGTGGAGCAGCTAGCGATTGTGTTTCTTATGCTGAATCATTGAAGGCAGGCTTTGAATTCCAATGTCTATTTGCAAGATCTTGGAATTTGTGCCATTTGTCTACTAAAGAAGTAGCCAAGCAATCAAATATATTAAAATGCAAAGAAGTCACTGTGAGGAATAATGTGAGCCTTCTCAAGGTATTTTCTTTCAGTTACCTATGGAAGTTTGAAAATGAACAAGGAAAATTCAAGTAATGTCTTTGACTCTTCATAATGGTGAAGAATATTGAATATACCATGAACGACCAGAAAGATAAATGTGTATGTCTTGTAAGAAGTACTAACAGCATGCTCCTTAGAAGCAAGAATAGTAAAACTTCATCACACATACTTCAGACATGTTATCAGGAGGGACTAATGGAGAATCAATGACTGCAACAATAGACTCAAATATAACAATTGTGACTAAGGTGCAGGGATGGGTAGTGACTAATGTGTGGGGCTGGGTAGTGTTTTATTCAGTTGTATATAGAATCACAATGAAACAGATCCTACTCAATGTAACCTGAAAACAAAA